GATAGTGGAAAAACCATTCCCGAAGCCAACTCTTCAGACAAAGATTAGACTGGACTGTAAGACATAAAATGATACTCATGAAGAGTGTGCTTCTTAGCTCAAGTAGATATATGAGTCTAAATGGGCAGCTCCTGTCCAGAGGTGAGATAAGAAGGCACAAACGGACAGGAGCTGGTTGAAGGGACAAAGGAAATCCGGGGTAGAAAGGAGGAGTGTGCTGTCACAGTATGGGCAGTGCAACTAGGGTTACATAGCAGTGTGTGTATAAAGTTTTGTATGAGAAACTAACTTGAACAGTAAACTTTCATTTAAAGCACAATAAAAGAAATAGAGATAGCTGAGAAAAACTCATAAGTCACATGCTAAGTTTCTACTATATTTACTACCTCCACCACCTATCTTTTAGTTGCCATACTGTGGTGGCTTGTGTATCACTATAATGCTAGAAACTATGTCACCAGTATTTCAAATACCAGCAGCAGGGTCATCCATGGTGGACAGGTTTCAGTGAAGCTTCCAAACTAAGTCAGACTCGGAAGAAAGACCTGGCAACTTATTCTAAAAAATTAGCCAATGAAAACCTTGTGGGTCACAGTAGAACACTGTTCAACTCACTTGCTTTGGACGTGTCATCAGGAGGAATCAATCACAAAGGAGGACACTGTCTTTGGTGAAGTAGAGGCCCAGAAAAAAGGAGACTCTCAGTGAAATGAAATGGAACAATAAGCCTCAATGATGGACTTGGACATGCCAGCAATCAGGAGGATGACACAGGATTGGCCAATGTTTCATTTTGTTGTATATAAGGTCACCATGAGTCAGAGCTGACTTGACAGCAGCTATCTATCAATCTATTTACCACTTAACATGATGGCCTTTCTAGTCTTTCTCATTAATTGTGTCTACCAGGACCATTATTCAACTCCAATACACACAAACACACTATAACAAAAGACTTCTATTTTGAAATTACCTTTTTACACCACTCTTTCACCTCCTTAAATTAATAGTATATTTGTAAATTTTGAGAAGTTATCCAAACTTATTAAGAGCTATATGTTTTTCAAGCTATCTGTGGATAGTATAAAAATTCATATGTATTAGCAAAAGCATTTGTTTCACTATAAAAATGTAAACTATGTGAGTGTAAAGAATATTCTTTTGTGCAGTTATAGCACTCTATTCTAAAAACAAACTGATATCTCAGTTTATTTTACTTACATAATAAGTTTAATTTACATAGAAATGATAGAGCATTTCAGGAGCAAATCTTAAAAACAATTTCTGCTGACTGACTGCTATAATAATCTCCTTAAGAGAAAAATAAACATAAACCAAAACAGCCGTTGTGAAATATATATAGTAGGTCTCAGCTGAAGACAAAACTTGATATTTAGTAGGAAAACACTAAAAAAACTGAAGGGGCTTTGGTTTAGAATGTTGGCTGAAGGAAAACTGTTTCCTTAAAACTTTGATATTTAAGGCAGGCTCCCAGGCAGTAACTCAAATCTGTACTATTTTCTAAATCCTATCCTATGACCACTGCTGAGGAGAAAGAAACCAAATTCTTTTCAGTGCTTGTATGTCCAGCACTTGGAGGGATGTTTTCCACAGGTTCTTGTTTAATGGGACTAGAGATCATTTTGGTAACCTCAAGTACTAAGTTATTTCCAAAATTTAACTTCAAAGATTTATTTGTTTTTTAGGAACTACACATAGCTACGTAAGAACTTACATTTTCTGAATTATAGTGACAAAAGTCTGGAGTTTGACTATGAAGGTTAAAAAATTTCCAACAGAATATACCACATCTACAATCTCTTTTTTATTTTCTTAACCAACTAGAAGAGATCTGTATTTGTGCCCATTCCAAAGAAAGGAGATCCAACAGAACGTGGAAATTATCGAACAATAACATTCATATCACACACAAGTAAAATTTTGCTTAAGATAATTCAAAAAATAGTTGCATCAGTACATCTACAAGGAACTGCCAGAAATTCAAGCTGTATTCAGAAGAGGAAGTGGAATGAGGGGTTATCACTGCTGATGTCAGATGGCTCTTGGCTGAAAGCAGAAAATACTAGAAAGATGTTTACCTGTGTTTTGTTGACTATGCAAAGGCATTTGTGTGGATCACAACAACTTATGGACAACATTGTGAAGAACAGGAATTCAGAACACTTAATTGTGCTCATGCAGAACCTGTCATTCTGACTGCAAGAGGCAGTCACTCAAATAGAACAATGGGATACTGCATGGTTTAAAATCAGGAAAGGTGTGCACCAGGGTTGTATCCTATCACCATACTTATTCAGTCTGTATGCTGAGCACATAATCCGAGAAGGCGGACTATACAAAAAAGACCACGGCATCAGGACTGGAGGAAGACTCATTAACAACATGCGACATGCGAATAGCACAACCTTGCTTGCTGAACGCAAAGAGGACTTGAAGCACTTACTGAGGAAGACTAAAGCTTCAGTTTGGATTACATCTCAATATAAAGAAAACAAAAATCCTCACAACTGGACCAATAAGCAACATCACAATAAAAGCAGAAAATACTGAAGTTGTCAAAGATCCAATACTTGGATCCACAATCAACACCCATGGAAGCAGCAGTCAAGAAATCAAAGATGCACTGCATTGGGAAAATCTGCTGCAAAAGACTTCTTCAAAGTGTTAAAAAGCAAAGGTATCACTTGGAGGACTAAGATGTGCCCGACCCAAGCCAGGGTATTTTCAATTGCCTCATATGAATGCAAAAGCTGGACAATGAATAAAGAAGACCGAAGAAGAATTTGTGCCTTGGAATTATGGTGTTGGCCAAGAATACTGAATATACCACAGACTGCCAAAAGAACAGAGAAATCTGTCTTGGAAAAAGCACAGCCAGAATGCTCCCTAGAAGAGAGGATGACAAGACTTTGTCTCATCTACTTTGGACATGTTATCAAGAGGGACCAGTTCCTGGAAAAGGAGATCATGCTTGGTAAAGTAGAAGGTCAGTGAAAAAGAGAAAGACCATCAACAAGATGGATTGACACAGTGGCTGCAACAATGGGCTCAAACATAGCAACAATTGTGAGGATGGCGCAGGACTGGGCAGTGTTTCACTCTGTTGTATACAGGGTGACTATGAGTCAGAACTGACTCTACAGCACCTAACAATATAACAACATAATCTTATCAAGTAATTTTGACCAACAAAACCTTAAGATTCTGAAACTTCTAGAACTTCAGAGTGAACTGAAATAAAATTAATAAACTGTTTAGCTTTAGAAAGAGGAAAAATATCATTAACATAACATTTTCCTTTCCTTCAATAAGAAAATGTCTTTAAATTGCTGACATTAAGAAATTCTCTAAAATGCAAAGATGAATCTATACTAAGCAGTTTATACACTTATATCACACTCATTCATTTACTGCACAGATATTTATTAATGATCTCAAAACACAGACTGGTTGGATTTTGGTAAAGAAGATGTTGGAGAATACAGGTTGAGGATAAAAAAGATGCAGATGCCAGAAAGGATAATGTATATCTGGAGGACATTAACCTGTTCAAGTGAGCTGGTGTACATGGTTTATGGAAAACAGTAAAAGATAGGTCCCATTTAAAAACAAACAAATGTAACTGAAATATTACCAGTTTGCAACATATAATTAAGTGGAAATGGGTAAACTTTTTTTTAATGTGCAACAAATTATTCAGGGCACTGAACATACTAAAGTTATAAATGTTGGAGAATACTGTCAAGAACTATGCAGGGTCTGAGATTTTTCCCTCTTTGCAAACTAACAAGTTAGCTTCCCACAGTTTCTTGGATAGTGACAGAAGACAGGAGACCCCTGGGTCAGAGACAAAAGGACTTTACTGCTCAGGGTACTACAGGCAGCATGAACATCATGCTCTCATCCATTCCTTGTGCCCTCAAGTCCCCTGAATGTTGAGCAGCCCAGAGGAATGCTGAGCATTCACTGAGGTCATATCATAGCTGAGGAATTTCAAACTTAGAAAATCCCATCTTAGAAGGAAACAGCTAGCACTCCTGTCCATCTTTTGCCACAGTGTGAGAGAGAAATTATCTTCACTAACTTGGGTGGCAAACAAATCTGCTCTCTGACCTGGAGGGAGGTACTATCTGTACCTCCAAGGCTATTTCCTATATGAATACCCTCAAAAAGATAGTTTGGAACAAAAGCTGACAATGCCTTTGCTCAGAGACACACAGAAATACAAAAGATCCATGTAGAATATCTCCCACAAGCATAAACTAAGTTTCATATATTCTTTATGCTATCATTTAACCTAGCAATCCATTTTGTCTACGTTATTAACGAGCCAGAAAGGAATATAAGAATTTCAGCTTTTCCTTGGAAAAACAGAGTATCTGTCTAGTTATCACACTAAACAAATATGTGTCTATGTATTTTATTTTAAAAAAGACGTAATATGACAAAGAATGAGTAAAAAACTTGGCTTTAACAAAACACTCACCTAAATGACAAATAACATTTTCAAAGGTTCCTACAACAGTACCATGTGAGGTACCTAATGTTTATAAAATCTAATTCCTTATCAAGTCAAAGGTAAGTAGATTAGATCCAACTTATGAGCCCAAACATCAATCTTCTTATAGAGAAGCACTTAAAAACAATACTTATACCTTCTGGCACAGTGGAAGATTCAACCTTTTAAAAACATTTTTAAAAAATTAAAATTTGTCATGAATTTGTTTTCCTATGTAACAACTCACTACAAAATATTAAGTCCATGGAAATGATATATTTGCACAAAAACATAAAACTTTTATACTGAGAATACTAAAAATACCACTAAAAATATCAAATAGAAGAAGGCAAAATGCTTTTTTTAAATCCCTTTTTGTAGATAGAGTACACGAACTGCTTCACCTTCAAAACCTTTTTTTCTGAGTAATTAGAATTAGAACGAACTAGATTAAAGGAATATATGGAGTATAGGAACATACCTCTCCTAGAGCCTCATATCTTTTCTGGTTCCACCTGTGCAAGTCTTCCCGGTAGTTAAAAACAAATGGCTCCCCAGTTTTTGTGTGTCTTAACTGCCCCTCTAGAAGATAAACAAGCAATACTGTTATGACCCAGAGTACATTTATAATAATACTGAAAGTACAACAAATAATTTCTGATAGAAGTTTAAAATAACTCAGAAATTTCATTTTTTCACATTAGATTTTTTTATCAAGTATCAATATGATACAAATATATAAATAGTATAAAAGAATGGTCCCCAAGTATTGAAAAGTGATGCTTTTAATCTTTATCTCTCCAATCTAATGCAAATTAACAATATTTGAGGGTCTTCTATGTATAAGGATCTACTGCCATAAGCATGGTGCCAGACCTCAAGAAACTTACAGGCTACCTCAAAAGACAAAGCATAAGTATTAAAAAGTTAAGCAACTTTCTAGGAAGTTAAACAAACAAGAATGAAGTAAGTTAATAATCTAAAAACTGCAATAGGCCAACTCATGTACACAATAAAATCTAGAATGAGTTTGGGAAAATGATGGATTCCTATGGACTAGAGCAGGCTCAGAAGGTTTCAGTGAGATTTCTCAACTAGTCCTTGAAATAAGGCGAGGATTTCAAATGGAAATTGGAGCAGTGAATTAACACACAGGTGCTGAATGTCAAATCAGACTTACTCAAATCAGAGATCTTTACTAATAATGACTAAGCTTTAGTAATAACTTCAAGGGTACAAACAATCAGGAGGCATAGGCAAAGCAGAAAGAGGTCTGAGACATCCCAGACATTTCCCCAGGTCCTTCCCTCTCATAATGGATACAAGTTCTCTGGTGCAGAATACATGAGGTTTCTAAGTGAGGTATTGGGGTTTACCTCACACAGTGGTGAGCACTGTGGTTACAAAATATCTCCATTTTATATGCCAGAGAGTTAAACTGCTATTGGGATATTCTTAAGAGAAATATGCCTCATATAGTCACAGATTATAGGCTTCTTTATCATAAGCAATGCTAAACCAGGGCCATCCTGCTCATGTAAGGACCTCTCCTCATAGCAAATATTAGTCTGCAGCTACTAAAAGTTTAATTATCAACAGTTTACAAAGAGAATAGACCAGGCCACCTGTCTTCTTTCTTCCCCCAGGAGTATTCCCTTGGTCATCAGGAGCGAAATACACCATATGCCAACGGTTTTAACCCTTCCTCTCGCCCAGACAACATAAACAAAATTGTGAAAAGTGGACAGCAAGTTCAAATAACAGTGAACAACGCAGTTTGACAAAAACAAAGAGATTATTAAATCAAACAGTGTAATTAAAATTGGAAGGCAGATTGGGATCAATTAGTAGAAGGCCCTGAATGACAAGCTACTGGGTTTGGACTTCATCCTAAAGGCAGTGAAGCACAAGAAAGGGTTTGGAGGCAGAAGAGGGACATGATCAAGCATGATCAAAAGTAGTATTCTCTTTTCATCCAATGAGAAAGTGCAGGAGTAAAGAAGAAAACCGGAACGGAAAGTTATAGCACTGAAGCGGACTCAGGAAATACATTATGTAAGAGTTATGTCATTATAAACTTGAAAAATAAGTCCTTGAAGATAATAAGTTAACACTGACCTTTTAGGGATTTATTATTGAGACCCAGTTTCCTTTTTCTCAAATCCTCACTTCTTTGAAAATACATTAACCATTAACCCTGCATTGAAAGGTGAACTGTATTACGCTAAAAATAAGACCCTTAAAAGTGACATTCTCCCATCAAAATGCAAGCATCTTGCCTAATGCTGTTAGTTTGTATCTATGCAACAGAACATCCAGGATATTTAAAAAAATAAATGGTAGGTGTGCAAGGGTGCATATACATGTGAGTAAGTGTGTGCATGAAAGGGCACACGTGCATGCAAGGGTGTATGTGTATACAAAAGTGTTTGAGTGCAGGGGATGTGCATGCAAAGGTGTACAAACACGTGCAAAGGTGTGTGTGTGCGAATGCATCTTATGAGAAAAAGGAGAGAGAAAAGTATTCTGCTGTTTCGGTTTTTACTCACTTTCACAAATGTTCAAGGAAGAGGAAAAGTTAGATAAAAGTATTCTGCTGTTTTGGTTTTTACTCACTTTAACAAATGTTCAAGGAAGAGGAAAAGTTAGACTTCAGTGAAAACTGAGGTCTTCTACCTATAAGGAAACCCTGGTGGCGTACTAGTTAAGAGCTATGGCTGCTAACCAAAAGGTCAGCAGTTCGAATCCATCAAGCGCTCCTTGGAAACCCTACGGGGCAGTTCTACTCTGTTCTGTAGGGTTGCTATGAGTCAGAACTGACTTGATGGCAACGGGTTCTACATATAAAGCAAATGTTCTATGATTAACCCGCGCTACCAACACCCTCCACACTCCTCCATCTGTGTTTCAAAAGAAAAGAATCTAGTGAACACTTCAAAGGAACAGAAGCAATGTTAGTAATAGTGCTCATCTGATTCCATTAATTGAAATACAAATAAAATTTTTAAAAATATTATTATGTATATTGCAGCATAAAATATCCTTTATAAAAAAGGCATGAAAATTAATATCAGACCAAAAAAATCAAAGTTTCTAATATCTCCACTTTAAAACTCACTAACATTCTTAGACACAGGGACTCACTATAAGTTCTAACATCTATAACTGACTTTGTAAAGTGATATCCACTAACACGACAATGACAGATCACCAATTCTGTTGATGCAGAGCAACAAACAGAAAGCTACAACTGAAATGCTAAATAGCCTGTAGTAACACTACTCTTAAGTATAACAGTATGTTATTAATCCAATGAATCAAATTCTTTGTTCCAGAAACATCCTTGCAATCTGTGATATGTTCTTCCAAACCCCAAGTGCAAAGCTTATTTTATTCAGAACTTCACAACTTAATAAATTTTTAAACAAGGATGTTGCCTTAAAAAATCAAGGTATTATTATGCTTTAAAATACTGTCACAGCTAATTATTGTCAATCACTTCGTTTTAAATAACATGCGAAACAATAGCATCTTTCTATATAATTTAATTAGCAGATCTAATTTGATACTAGGAAGCTGAACACTCAAGGTTGCAAAACATAAGCTGAATCAAATACGTGCCCATCAGTTTATGTGACTTGTCAACTATGGGAAAACTGCAATCTGGTTCTTTCACTTGACTGAAGAATTTCACCATGCAAGGATAAGTCATTATTTTTCAAAAGAAATACATAAAACATTCTCGCTGGCCATTAAAGGTAGCAAATAGTATCTGTTCTAGGACTCTCTTAGCACTGTCATATACTACTTACTTTCATTAAAAGCATATTCAAATCCTTCCAGGGTATCAGGAAAATCAAGAGGTGGTTCATCTTTTTTCATAAGTTCATCCAAATCTATCCTAGATAATAAATCTAAAAAAGAAATAATATGAAATTTAATTATAATAATTTTCATAGTTAATAACAAAGGTTATATTTTAAATTATTTTGAAGTGTTCTTTTGCTCTAAAAGCTTAATTTTTATGTGTTTCCTTAACTGATAATGCTATTAAATTTTGAAGTTCACAAAATGCTATATTCTGACCAAGCACAATACCAAGATAACATTTTCAAAATCATAATTCTCAAAACAATCACAACTCAGATCCTATGTACCACTATTCTAAATTAACTTCTTCCCTTCAAAATAGACAGCTATTAATCTGTACCTTATTAACCTCAATCCAGAGCCCTGGTGGCACAGTGGTTAAGGCGCTCAGCTGTTAACCAAAAGGCCAGGGGTTTGAACCCACCAGCTGCTCTGTGGGAGAAAGATGTGGCAGTCTACTTCTGTAAAGCCTTGGAAACTCTATGGGGCAGTTCTACTCTGTCCTCTAGGGTCGTTAAAAAGAGTCTGAATTGACTTGATGGCAGTGGGTTTTGGGTAATATCAATCTATAGTTTTAAAAGTTTTAGAAATTAATATGATATTTAAAAGGTCACAAAACCTTATATATAAATGATACTACTGTTTATGAATGTTATAAATCTAAATAATAGTTATTATTGCATATTACTCTGTTTTCAGGAGGAAAATTATAATATTACAATAACACAAAATAACTGGAGAAAGCTGATTAACACAAAGCAGTTTCTATTCTTCACATCATATGATTCTATGCAATTAAAAAATCTGTCAAGTATTTTTTTTAGCAAGTATTTTATTTTGGAATAATTTTAGATTTACAGAAGAGTTGAAAGATCGTACAGAACCTTCCTATATGCCTCTTCTCATCAAGCTCCCCCTACTGTTAACATCTTATATTCCCAGAGCACATTTGTCAAAACTAAAAAACCAACTCCGGTACACTGCTATTAACTAAAGCCTAGCCATTATTCAGATTTCGCCAGTTTTTCTATTAATGTCATTTTTCTGATCCGGGATCCCATCTTGGAGATCACACTGTATGTAGTTCTCATGTCTCTCCAGTCTCCTCTGGTCTGTAAGAGTCCTCAGAATTTCCTTCTATGAGCTTGACAGTTCTGAGGAGCTCTGGTCAGGCATTTTGTAGACTAACCCTCAATTTTAGGTTTATCTGATGTTTTCCTCATGATTAAAGTAGGGTTATGAGTTTTGGGATAAAATACCACCAAGGTGAACTGCCCTTCTCATCATATCACATCAGGGAGATCATGATATCCACATAACATCACCGGTGATGTTAACTTTCACCACTTGGTTAAAGTAGACTTCTCCACTATAAAGTTACTATTTTTCCCTTTCCATAATCTGGTTTTTGGAAGTGACTAAACCTGGTGCACTCTCAAAGGAGAGGGAAGGAATTAGCTTCTACCTCCTGGAGTGGAGATTCTACAAACGTTATTCAAAATTCTTCTGCAAGGAATATTTGTCTCTCCTCTTCCATTTATGTATTTATGAAATCATTTATTTATATCAATGTGGATGCGTGGATATTTATTATGTACTTTGGACTACAATCCAATAATAGTACATTATTTATTTTGTTGCTCAAATTGTTCCAGTTTTGGCCACTGGAAGCTCTTTCAGTTGGCTCCTGCGTCCCTTTGACATCCCCTCATCTTTTTGTTTTTTCGAGCACTTGTGAATCAGAATCAACTTCACGGCAACGGGTTTGGTTTGTTGTTGTTGTTGTTGTTTTACTTTCTGTTACTACAAGATGCTCCAGGTGCATTTTGTACTTTCGCTGCCCTGGCCCTAGAATCAGTCTTCCAACAAGTATTTAATGTATTTTTTAGGTTCCATTTAGAAGATGAGGCAAAAATTCTCACTGCCTGTCATCATAAAGCTATATCTAAAATCATTAAAAGCAAGAAAAAAAAAACCCAAATTTATACTTTTAAAAAAAAGATATGAAGTCATTAAAACTTCAAGACAGTTGAATCCATATAATGTAAATATGCATACAGCAAGAAAAAAAGTTCAGGTTTTGAGTTTTTTTCATTCTAATTTTTCCTGATGAGAAATAGCTTCTAGGACATATTATAGGCAAACAGTCCCTTTCCTACAATAAAAAAAAGTACCTCAGAAGCAACACTTTATTTCTGTCTCTCACTCACAGAGTTGCAACAAATTCATCTGTATGGCACACCAAAATATACTAGAGAAGAAAGTATTTCGTGTATCTACAGTCTTTAGTCTCTAGCTTCTCTCTGTAAAACATAAAGATAAGCCATCAAAAACTTCCCCCTAAAAATGACTGTTCAATAATTACTAAGTCAACTTCTTCAAACTGCTACATCAAGAATTTAGATACAGGAAAGAATTCACTGCTTCTAGGGAGGAAAGAGGCTCATGTTGGTTGAACGTTTTTGTTTTGTTTTTTTCTCTTAAAATGAAAGAGTAAAGAACAAAAAATGAATGGTATGGGGAAGGTAAATGGATGGCTTATTATTATTATTCAATTTTAAAATAAAATAAGCAATCTTACTAAACACATAAACCTCAAGTCACAACAATATACTATCTGTAATATAAAATAATGGCTGTAAACTCTCTAGTAAAACAGAAATGTCACATAATATCCATACTGGGCTAAAACGGGGACGTATGCTGACAATTTACAGAGTTTTAGTAAAGTTCTGAATATCATGTAAATCTTCGCAAAACAAAGACAGGAAAAAGTTTTAATAACAAAATTGGCTTGTAGTGGCTGAAAGATGCTTACTTCTCTTCTTCCAATTAATTACATTCCAGGGTAGTATAAGATTGTCTCACTCCACACTCATTTTCCATAGTTCAAAACTTAAAAACCTTTAACCAGACACACAAATATCATCGAAAATCTAAGCAGACAGGTCATGTCTAACAGCCATTTTCTCTTCCTATCAGTTCAGATGACAAAATACCACCATATATCTATATACCACTTTGGGAGACTTCAAAGAACTTTCACATACTTTACCTCATTTGATCATTACAACCTTATGAAACAGTAACAAGTATCATCTTCACTGTCTTTCAGACAATGAAATGAGCTCAAAGAGGTAAAATGCCTTGTTCAAAATTACAGCTTAATAGCAACTAGGATTAAAAAAATAAACATTTCCCAATTCCAAACTCAGTGTTCTTTCAAAACCCACTCTTATATGCCATATCAACCCTATACTATTCTGTCCCTCTCTTCCCCCTTATAAAGAGTAAACAGTTATAAATACAAAAATGTGCTTTTGCTTTCCTCAAAATGTTCCTCTGAATTATAAAATGAGCAATTAAGTGAAAGGGCGTTCCTCAAACTTCTCCTCTGTCAACTAGAAAACCTGATAGAGATATCGTTATTTCATTAGCATTGAGAAAACACATAGAAATAGTCAAAGAAATTATTTTCCTGCTTTGTAAAAGGAAAGCAATACTATATACTAGCATTTTACACAGAGGTTAGGATCCAAAGTCAGTGGATTAGGCAAAAATCAGATATAATAATAAAAATTTCCATTGAAAATCTCTTCAATTACCTATAAAATACAATACAGTTGAATCCATATAATGTAAACATGCATCAGATCTGACACCACTGTTTTTCTAAAAGATACCTCCTCCTATAATTAAGTGACTCAGCAACTAGAATTCTAAACCTCAACTAAGGATATGCAAGAACTATATAAAATGCCATCTGACATCTTTTTATTTATTAATATTTTATTAGCTAAATGGGTATTTAAAACATTACTGCAATTCTGTTTCTGGCCATGATAGGGTAACACAGACTGGATTTGTTTCATTCTCCTTACTTAAACAACTAGAAAATAGGCCAATATATGTGACAACTGTTATCAACACTGGACAACAGGCAGCCAGGACTGTTCACTTACAGAAAGAAAATAAACAAGATAAACTCTTTGACTGCCGTAACTTACTGCCTGTACCGTTTAGGGCATAGCAGGAAGGAGGAACCCAAACAGACCATGAGGGTCTTGCTGAGTTGAGGAGACAGAGATCAGAGTTTGAGTAAACCAGCGTGGCTAGATTTAAGAGCAGAGGATCAGAGCAGAGGAAACTGCTGAGAAAGAGAACGCTGAGCAAAGCTGCAGACGAATTCTCTCATGTCTTTGGCTGAACACTGATCCATGCATACAAGAGAAAACATTATCCAAGGGCAGGGAAAGTAGTAAACCGAACAATTTCTGACATACCCACACAGCTGTAATTTGTGTTCCCATCAGCCAGAGGCGAAAAAGCTTGTAATATATGAGACATCAGGTAGAGTCTTCAATAGGATCGCTTTAGTAGTAGGGCTGACTTAGCCCTAAATAAAAAGCTACTCTAGACCTGCCATTTCAAAAATTAAAAGTGAGCTTCAAAGCAGTGAAAACTAGCACAAATAACATAAATGAATGCCAGAACAAAGTCCAACATTCTTTGAAAGAACACCAAAAACAAAACAAAACCAAAAACATTTATCACCAAATTATTCTTTAAAGGAACACCACAAAATCCAGCACCCAACAATGTGAAACTGACAATGTCTTGCATCCATACAGAAACCCTGGTGGTGTAGCAGTTAAGTGCTACAGCTATTAACCAAAAGGTCAGCAGTTCGAATCCACCAAGCACTTCTTGGAAACGCTATGAGGGCAATTCTACTCTGTCCTATGGGGTCGCTATGAGTCAGAATCGACTCGACGGCAACGGATTTGGTTTGGTTCAACAGGAGCATCCGTACAAAATTACCAGGCATACAAAGAAGCAGAAAAATATAATCCATAAGCAAGGAGAAAAATCAATCAATAGAAACAGATCAAGAAATGCTAAAGATATGGAGTTAGCAGGAAAGGATGTTAAACATCTATTTCAATATGGTCCATATGTTCAAAAAAGTAGAAAAAATATGAACATAGTGAAGTGAAAAACAGAAGATGCATTTCAAACTTCTATACGTGAAAGTACAATATCTAAAATAAAAAATATAATTTAAGGCATTAACAGCAAACGAGATTATAAAAGATGAGATCAGTAAGCTCTTTGAAAATAGCAATAGAAGTACCTAAAATATAGCGAAATAAAGTGCAGAGGGAAAAAACACTAAAAAATAGAGCATCACTGACCTGTGACACAATGTCAAGTGGCCTAACAGATTGTAAGTGGAGTCCCAGAAAAGGAAACTAGTATTGGGGACAAGAGGGAGTGGGGAGAAAAATAATATTTTTTTTTAAATGGATAAAAACTTTTAACACCACATCCAAGCAGAATAAACATTACCAAAAAAACACAAAAAGATATACCACAATTAAATTGCTGAAAACAAGTGAAGCAGCTAGAGAGAAAGCATATTATATACACAGGAACAAAGAATGAAAGAAAGCTTCTCAGAATTATGCAAGCCAGAAGAAAATGGATCAACTCTTTCAATTACTAAAAGGGGGGGGGGGGGGGGGAGCCTATCAACCCAGAATTTTACACCAAGCAAAAGTATCTTTCAAAAAAGAAGGAGAAATAGATTTTTTCAGACACACAAAAACTGAGCGAATTCATCACCAGTAAACCTGCAGCACAAAAACTGATAAGCACTTCCGACAGAAGGCAAATGATAATCAGTCAGAAATACTGATCTACACAAAGAAATGAAGAGTGTTACAAAAGAAAAATATATGAATAAAGACATTTATTTCTTATTGTTAAATCTGTTTAACAGGTAATGATGAAACAGGGGCTATCACTACAGAGTCTGCAATCCTTAAAAGAAAAATGAGGAAATACACCAACAGCTGTACATATAAATTAAACAAATGGCTCAAGATCTTGAAAACTACAGACTACCAAAACTCATCCAACATAAAATAGACAATATGAATAGTTCTATGACTATAAAAGAAACTGACTTTGTAATTTAAAACCTTCCTCCAAAAAATCTCCATGCCAATAACATTTCACTGGAGACTTCTAACAAATATTTGACACAGAACTAGCACCAATACTACCTAATATTTTCCAGAAAATAAAAGAGGTGAGAATACTTCCCAACTCATCTCAGGAGACCAATATTACCTGATACCAAAACCAGACAAAGATAGTACATTAGAAAAAAAATTAATAATAAAAAAAAGATGACTCTGTCATGAACCTGGATGTAAAAATTCTCAACAAAATATTAACAAACCCAGCAATATATTAAAAAAATTATACACCACAATGAAGTGGGATTTATTTCAGGTACGCAAAGCTGGCTCAATGTTGTTGTTGTTGTTGCATGCCGTCGAGTCGATTACGATTCATAGCAACCCTATAGGACAGAGTAGAACTGCCCCATAGGGTTTCCAAGGAGTGACTGATGGATTCAAACTGTAAACCTTTTGATTAGCAGCCTGAGCTCTTAACTACTTTGCCACCAGAACTCCATTTCAATATTTAAAAAAAGGACAAACAATGCAATCAACCATATGAAAGAAGAAAAATCACAATCATATCAATTGATGCAAAAAAGTATTGACAAAATTAAACACCCATTCATGATTTTAAAAAAAAAACTCTCAGTAAACAAGGAATAGAGGGGAACGTCCTCAACTTGATAAAAGAGCATCTACAAAGAAAACCTACAGCTACTATCATACTTAATAGTGAAAAACAATGCTTTCTTCCTAAGTTCGGAAACAAGGAAACAATGTCCATTTTTACCATCCTTACTCAACACAGTACTGTCCTAGACAGCAGAAAGAGTAGTCCAAAGGACTAATGGACCACAACTACCACAGCTTCCACCAGACTGAGTCCAGCACAACTAGATGGAGCCTGGCTACCATCACCAGCTGCTCTGACAGGGATCACAATAGAGGGTCCCGGACAGAGCTGGAGAAAAATGTAGAACAAAACTCTAACTCACAAAAAAGAAGACCAGACTTACCGGTCTGACAGAGACTGGACAAAGCCCAAGAGTATGGCCCCCAGACACCCTTATAGCTCAGTAATGAAGTCACTCCTGAAGTTAATCCTTCAGCCAAAGATTAGACAGGTCCATAAAACAAAACGAGACTAAACAGGCACACCAATCCCAGAAGCAAGGAAGAGAAGGCAAAAGGGGACAGGAAAAATGGTAATGCGGAACACAGGTCAAGAAGGGGAGAGTGCTGACATGCTGTAGGTTTGGCAACCGATGTCACAAAACAATATGTGTATTAATTGTTTAATGAGAAACTTGTCTGCTCTGTAAACCTTCATC